TGAATTAGTTTAAAAAAAAAATCTCTTCCTGTTTTCAGAATGAACTTTGTATGGCTGATAATGGAGAAAGATACTGTTTTAGCCTAGCAGGCCATGCTAAATCCCAAAGTATTGAGTCTGTGTACAGTGAATTTCGTCACCAGAATAGTACGAGTGACGCAGGATTGTAACCGCATGTACTTTGTAATCCGTTGTTCCACAAGGTGGCCCAGGCCATTGTTTCACAGTAGAAAATGAAACTAGAAAGATGAAACAGCAAAATATCAGAGACTGCAACGACAAACAAAGATGAAACTTTCTAGAGCACACATGTTGACTGGCTATGTTCGCGCACGCTATCAAATGGAGTACACTTTAAAAGGCTACGCATTCGACTATACGTATAAGCTAGCGTACGTGTAAAAAAAAACGGTGTATACTTTGGGCTTAAAGGGTTAGTTCACCCAAAAATGAAAATTCTGTCAGTATTTACTCACCCTCATGTTGTTCCAACCCCGTAAGACTTTCGTTCATCTTCGGAACACAAATTAAAATATTTTTGATTAAATCTGAGAGCTGGATCACTCCTCCATAGGCTTATTAAGGGATCGAAACTGGCCGGCCCAAAAGTTATGAAAGACATCGTTAAAATAGTCCGAGTGACTACAGTGGCTCAATCTTAAGTTTATCAAGTTACGAGAATACTTTTTGTGCGCAAAAATCAAACAAAAATAACGACTTTATTCAACTAATCATTTCCTTCTCTGTGGGCCGTGATATTTCACGTAGTGAAACTACGCAAAGCTTCTAGGTTGTACGTCACGCATCACACACATGACCAGCGTCGGTCAATAGTGAGCCTGCGTGTGACGTGCAACCTAGAAGCTTTGCGCAATATCACTACGTGAAATATCACGGTCGTACAGAGAAGGAAATGATTAGTTGAATAAAGTCGTTATTTTTGTTTGTTTGTTTGCGCACAAAAAGTATTCTCGTCGCTTGATAAACTTAAGGTTGAGCCACTGTAGTCACTCGGACTATTTTAACGATGTCTTTCATAACTTTTGGGCCGGCCAGCTTCGATCCCTTAAAGGGATAGTTCACTTTGAAATTAATTTTTGATATGTTTTAGCTTACCTCCAGTGCATCCAAGATGTAGGTGTCTTTGTTTCCACAGTATCTTCAATTTTGATAATTTTAGGTAAAACCGTTGTTGTCTGTCAGTCATACAATGGAGGTGAAGGGGGTCCTCCTCAAAGAGCAGTCAAAATTAAACATTATTTAATGACTCGTAAATGTAAGTACACATTGATGCCCTAAGACACGAAACGAGTGGTTTTTGTGAAAAAACTAACAGTATTTATATTGTTTTTACCTCTTGTAACCACAGCCATGCCCAAGTTATCTGAGGGCGCGGACGCTTCCGTGTGTGACGTGTACGCAGACTGGTGCATAGATATATATACCCTAGATGTCGCCTTGGCTAAGGTTTCGTTCCAATGAACTGCCGTCGCCAAGGCGACATCTAGTTTATCTATGCACCAGTCTGCGTACACGTCACACACGGAAGCGTCCGCGCCCTCAGATAACTTGGACATGGCTGTGGTTACAAGAGGTAAAAACAATATAAATACTGTTCGTTTTCTCACAAAAACCACTCGTTTCGTGTCTTAGGGCATCAATGTGTACTTACATTTACGAGTCATTAAATAATGTTTAATTTTGACTGCTCTTTGAGGAGGACCCCCTTCACCTCCATTGTATGACTGACAGACAACAACGGTTTTACCTAAAATTATCAAAATTGAAGATACTGTGGAAACAAAGACACCTACATCTTGGATGCACTGGAGGTAAGCTAAAACATATCAAAAATTAATTTCAAAGTGAACTATCCCTTTAAGAAGCCTATGGAGGAGTGATCCAGCTCTCAGATTTAATCAAAAATATCTTAATTTGTGTTCCGAAGATGAACGAAAGTCTTACGGGGTTGGAACAACATGAGGGTGAGTAATTACTGACAGAATTTGCATTTTTGGGTGAACTAACCCTTTAACTAGCCAAACTTTGACACCTGGTTTTCATAACCTGACATTTTCCAGCATACATTTCTTTCAGATCTCTTCCATTAGACTGAGAATTCGTATATCATTGTGCAAATGCTCTTTGTGGGTTTCTGGAGTAAAATGAAACTTTATCGTACCAGTGCAGTACGACGCGGTTGCCTTCGTAATGAGCTGATTGTGAGATCCCTTCCACAACGAGCATGACAAACTCTTGCCGAGAGCATTCGGGTTGGCATGACAGATGAAGATTGAGTCTGAGATGGTGGAGATGGCCGTAATGAGGGCTGAAGAGAAACAGACTGAGCTAATGGAGCCCACAGTGAGATGTGGAGCCCAGGAGTTATTGTCTTCCTCCTCCTCCTCTTCTCCATAGGCTCAAGCTCACTACGCACTTCTATGTGAAAAACAAAATGATTTTGCTCTCTCCTACTGCTGGGCCACAAAATCCACATGTAATCAAGAGGAATTCTGGGAAATGTGGACAGGAGGAATGGAGCAAGACCCAGCCACACAGACCAAAACATCTGCATCTCTGGACTGTAAAAACAGCTCCACTTTTAGCTTTGATGGGTGAAATATGAAAGACAGCAATCGAGACAGGAAGTTGTGCTTAAAAGGACCTCAGCAGATTGAGCTAGCGGACGACCAGCGGCCAAGCATGCCGTCTTCTAAGTCATGACAGATGTACAAGTTAAATATGAAGCTGAGGAGAAGCTGGCCATAAATGACTATATTTAGAAAGTGTTTAAAGATGCATTACCATCCAAGGCTAGTAAAAATGGAATTAGTTGCACGGGCCGTATTTAAAATGTCATTAGGAGATATTTTGTGGGAAATGAAGTGCTAAGCACCTTCAGCTGAAGCGTATTATCCCATATCTGATCCTTCCATCAGTGTGAGTCATATGTGAGCGTGTGCGAGAGATAGATGGACTTAGCCTCCCGTGCCTACTGAGCTGATTACAGTACTATAGAAACACTGGCTCAGTTCAGCAGGAACAGGAGTCTGGTCCACAGACCACCCCACCTCTGGACAACTCTCTGCGGCTTCATCCACACACATGTATCGCACTGCTTTTTAACTGTGCCAACCTGTGTTGTTATTGTGAACTAAAATTGAAACTACTGACAAGATACTACATAGTAAAATGACTTAAAAATGACTATTCCCCCAAAACTATTTTAAATAGCATTTTAGTCATTATTTTATTGCGAAATACATGGAATATTTTTAAAACCCATTTAAAATAAACTACTGAAAAGGTAGAACGTTAATTATAAATGGTAAAAAAAAAAAAAAAAGATAGTTTGGTTTAGTTTGAAAGTTTGTTCACACTTTAGATTAGGGTCCAATTCTCAATATTAACTAACTATTAACTACGACTTTTGCCTCAATAAACTCCTAATTACTGCTTATTAATAGTTGGTAAGGTAGTTAAGTTCAGGTATTGGGTAGGATCAAGGGATGTAGAATATGCTCATGCAGGCATTCATTTTTGTTTATAAGTTCAAATAAACAGTAATATACACTCACCGGCCACTTTATTAGGTACCCCATGCTAGTAACGGGTTGGACCCCCTTTTGCCTTCAGAACTGCCTCAATTCTTCGTGGCATAGATTCAACAAGGTGCTGGAAGCATTCCTCAGGGAGTTTGGTCCATATTGACATGATGGCATCACACAGTTGCCGCAGATTTGTCGGCTGCACATCCATGATGCGAATCTCCCGTTCCACCACATCCCAAAGATGCTCTATTGGGTTGAGATCTGGTGACTGTGGAGGCCATTTTAGTACAGTGAACTCATTGTCATGTTCAAGAAACCAATTTGAAATGATTAGAGCTTTGTGACATGGTGGAAGTAGCCATCAGAGGATGGGTACATGGTGGCCATAAAGGGATGGACATGTTCAGAAACAATGCTCAGGTAGGCCGTGGCATTTAAACGATGCCCAATTGGCACTAAGGGGCCTAAAGTGTGCCAGGAAAACATCCCCCATACCATTACACCACCACCACCAGCCTGCACAGTGGTAACAAGGCATGATGGTTCCATGTTCTCATTCTGTTTACGCCAAATTCTGACTCTACCATCTGAATGTCTCAACAGAAATCGAGACTCATCAGACCAGGCAACATTTTTCCAGTCTTCAACTGTTCAATTTTGGTGAGCTCTTGCAAATTGTAGCCTCTTTTTCCTATTTGTAGTGGAGATGAGTGGTACCCGGTGGAGTCTTCTGCTGTTGTAGCCCATCCGCCTCAAGGTTGTGCGTGTTGTGGCTTCACAAATGCTTTGCTGCATACCTCGGTTGTAACGAGTGGTTATTTCAGTCACTGTTGCCCTTCTATCAGCTCGAACCAGTCTGGCCATTCTCCTCTGACCTCTGGCATCAACAAGGCATTTCCGCCCACAGGACTGCCGCTCACTGGATGTTTTTTCTTTTTCGGACCATTCTCTGTAAACCCTAGAGATGGTTGTGCGTGAAAATCCCAGTAGATTAGCAGTTTCTGAAATACTCAGACCAGCCCTTCTGGCACCAACAATCATGCCACGTTCAAAGTCACTCAAATCAACTTTCTTCCCCATACTGATGCTCGGTTTGAACTGCAGGAGATTGTCTTGACCATGTCTACATGCCTAAATGCACTGAGTTGACGCCATGTGATTGGCTGCTTAGAAATTAAGTGTTAACGAGCAGTTGGACAGGTGTACCTAATAAAGTGGCCGGTGAGTGTATATGCCAATAAGCAACTAGTTAATAGTGAGAACTGGACCCTAAACTAAAGTGTTACCTTATTCTTTAAAATCCTTTTATGTAAAGCACTTTGAATGACCATTTTGTATGAAATGTGGTATATAAATAAATGTATCTTGCCTTGTTTCGTTACTTCTGATGTCCTGAGAATAAATCATAATATTTCATGTTGTAGTGATTCTGGCTCTTCTCTTTTGCAGGTTTCAGATTTGTTTGGTCTGCAGTCACATGTTCAACTCAGGGAAATCAAGCAGGATCCACTGTCGCAACAAATGACAAATGGAATATGCACAAAAAAACAGTCACTGTCATTATTAGGGCGATTGTTTTCCATCATTGCAACAATTCAATGTTCAAGCTAGAAGATATGAAATAAAGCCAAAATGTCATACTTTTGTATTGTCAGAAAGAATTAAAAACAAATACTGTACTCAAATGTGTGTCATTCTGAAGTATTGGAAGGCTGGGCTACCTGAACCAAGGAACAGCTTGTTTTGTCCAGTCCCAGACTCCCGATCAGATAGGAAGAAAATGTTTGTGGTAGAAATATGCGCAGATGATGCATGTTTGCATGCTAAACATGTCACCTTATCCTCACTGTTAGTGTTTTTACAACACCCCACACATTTAGGGACGTTTCTGTGGCCGACTTTACACAAAATATTTTGTTAGAATTGTGGTCTCGTAAAATAACCTTTTATTTGTTCAAGGAATATTCAACTGGTTGCAGTTATACTAGTATTAAATGTGACAATTTATCTAATTTAATTTAACAGCATTTCAAATGAAAGACATTAGTGATATTCTTGAGTTTTGAGTGATAAACACGTGCTTGAGAGGGTTGAACAGGGAAAACGCTCAGAGGAAATGGTCCTACAGGGAGACGGAGAAGCACTAGTGATGATGGAGTCTAGAGAGTAAAGTACAGAGACTAAACTATTCAGGAGGCCCTTCCCTGGGATTCACACACACACGTGCAGATGTGAGCGATCATGTGGTGAGAAGGACTCCGGCATACTCTCCTGTCAAAAGAGTGTGTGGGAGGACAGTGAGCAAAGACAAACGGCGTGTTAGCTAGACGGAGCTCCGCAGTCAAACAACAAAGACGCCGAGTCCAAACACTCACGAAATACAACCGCAGATCTGACAGCAGAGTCACATCGGTGGAAATTTACTTTCTCAGATTCACGTTTGATGTCATCCAAACACACAGATAGAAATACATGTGTTCCTTTTATTTGGCTCAATACATCAAGTGCGGAGGCCCCTCTTGGGTTTAGGGGGAGAACACCCACTGCTTTTAAAGTTAAAAACGGCAGCTGGGCTTCTCTTCTATAAATGCCATATCGTCCCACCCAGCATTTTGATGCGTAACTGAGCCACGCCAGGATTCCTTGTCCTAATAAATAGTTTGAGAAAGCGCTCGAAGCTAGGAGTTTTTATGTGAGCCTCTCAGGTTTGGAGGAGGGTGTCCTGAAGCGTCCTCAGCCTGGAATGAACTCCGTCGTCCCACGAGGCAGCACTGTTTAGTCTGCAGCGTATTGAAGAGAGGATCCACAGTGCCCTGCGCTTCACAGCGGCCTCAGTCAGCACCTGCCAGCATCACAAAACACACACATTTGGGTAATTAGCCCTCACAATTTCCACTGGACCACAGAAATTAAGTGCGTGTATTAATCATTATCGATTTTCATGTTGCAAAGCCCATATGCTGTTCATTTTTCAATGGAACACAGAAAAAAAAAAATAGAGGTGCATTCTCTAGCTTTGTGCTGATTTGATGGGATTGAGACTCACATGGGATTGAGACTAACGATAATTCTTTTATATATATATATATAAAAAACTTTCTATAAAAAGCATTTCAATATGTATGGTGCAGCTCACACCCTCATTGTATTTCGCCATGTTAAAATGACAGGACTAGCTGAGTTTTACTAAACGTCAGAATCCTCACTCTCATTGGCTGCTGCCTCTAGATATGCTAGTAGCGTAGTGTAGTTTGGTGATGCAAGGAGTGAAAATTAGACAATGGAACACACTTATTATCGTGTTTTACCAGCGGAGAAACGAGTACCTGTATGACAGAAGCAGAAAAGGTTCCACCACATAAGAAATAAACATGCATTAGTAAATCATAATTATGACATAATAAGTAAAAATTATGAGATTAAAAATGAATATGGCCTAAAACTACAAAACTGCAAGATAAAAAGTCATCATTTTGGCGCAAGTCAAAATTATGACATTCAAACTTATGACAAAAATGTGTAATTACCGGTAGTCATAACTGACATAAAAAGTTGAAAGTATGACAATGTTATTAGATTGAAATTATAAGATAAAAAGTAAATTATGATTTAAAAAATACATTATGATTTAAGAAGACTTGGAATATAAAGCACAAATCAGATTAACTACTTTTATGATTCTTTTTGGCTTCTGTTTGTCAGATTCAGAATTTGACAGCCCATGGTGAGTATGAACTGTCGTTGTATGATCGAATATTCACCCTGCATGAATATTCAAAATATCACATTTTTGTATTATGATTTTGGGTGAATTATGCCTGTATGTAAACAAAATTGAGGCCTAACCTTGTCATAAAAGAGCCACTCTCAGCACTCAAGCAGTTGGGGGTAAACCTGTTTTTAAATTGTGTGTGTGTGTGTGTGTGTGTGTGTGTGTGTGTGTGTGTGTGTGTGTGTGTGTGTGTGTGTGTGTGTGTGTGTGTGTGTGTGTGTGTGTTCACATTTGTGAAACGCTTCTGATTTTAAATGTGTTGTAAACCCAACAGCCTATTTTATTCTGTTGTTCTCTGCATACCACACGAACTAGCGTAGGATCAATAAAGGCACTGATGACAACTTAATTGGGCTGCGCAGAGCCCTCGTCTAGTCTTGAATAGGCCACCGGGTTCGCATGAGTAAACCCTTGGCATTTGTGGACATAAATGTAATTTCACAATGTGCTGAAACTGAATCAGTGAAGACCTCACCTTGTCAGTTATTTCAGTGATAATGCTAACAGGTCCATGGGAAAAGATGGCAAAGTTTGAAAACAGATGCAAGACGAGGTTTGTTGAAAGAGAGGAGGACAGGAGCTCTTTCACAGCACTGAGGTGACTAGGAGGGGGAGGACGAGTGAGAAACAGGATCCTTAGATGAGTCCAGGCTTCTCTGGCCACTGCCTGAGATTAAAAACAAAGAGGAGGAAACCATCAGTAATTTTCCAGTCTGCTTCCCTTTGCTGTTTTTAACTTGTGACGTAAGGTTGACTGACTTCAGCGCCATAATTAGATCTCTTACGGTTTGTTGGGACCTCTGGTGCCCTCTGTTGGTGGGGTGGTGGAAGAACGTCAGGAGCCACAGCAGCGGTTCGGCGTTCTCAGGCTCTGCCAGAACAAGCAGCTCAACAGCTGTATCCACCCAGTACCCACACTGCACCAGCAGGAACCAAGCTTCAAAGACAGACTCATACGCCCTGGAAAATCACCATCCACCCAAACACACAATGGAAGAACATAACAGTTATTTACTGTTACATATGTGTTATGAAGAGAGATAGAGCAACAAGAAGGTTAATTATTATTGAACATTGAAATGGACAGCTTAAAGTGATTATATATATATATATATATATATATATTAAAAATTACTTTAAGCCGTCCATTTCAGTGAATTTCAAACTTTGATTCAACAATTTGTTTGCATTTTCATTTACAAATATTCACAGAAGTCGATTTGAATATATTTAAAATGAAATTTTTTCCTGTGATAAACAAAAGCTGAATTTTCAGCATCATTAATCCAGTCTTCAGTATCATGTGATCCTCCAGAAATCATTCTAATATGCTGATTTACTGCTCAAGAAACATTTCTTATTATCATCAGCGTTGAAAAGTTGTGCTACTTGATATTTTTTTTGAAACAATACAAAGAATTCTTTGACGAATAAAAAGTTCAAAAGAACAGCATTTTTTTTTTACATAGAAATCTTTCTGATTTATTGAGACTTTTGATTGATTTAATGCATCCTTGCTAAATAAAAATATTCAAATTTATTGATCCAAAACGTTTGAACGGTAGTGTGTGTGTGTATACTGAATAGGTTATTTACACCAAATGTGAAAAGAATTGGCGTCAATAGGTCTACTCGCATCAAGGATGAAACGAATCGACCGTGTGTCTGGCAAAATGAAAAACATATTTTATACTTATGTGCATATATTATAAATGGACTTTGAAGGGGTGGTTATGTCTGTAGCACAAAGGGTTAATGTATTGCAACCCATTTTTAAGTCATTCAGGACATTCCACTTGGTGTGGATGGACCTTTTGGGTATTTTTCCAGGACAAGCATTTGTGAAGAGCAGCTATGTACATCAAGTGAAAACCTATCACTGAATATCTGGTCATCTGTGTCCAAACACCCTCCTGTGTCAAGCCTGAGCTGGCCAGAAACATACCGGATTACTGCGTGGGAAATCTCTCAAGTAACAGCACGGCAGATGATAAGAAAGCGATGAAGTGCAGAGTGTCTTGAAGCTCATCTCACCTGACATCTTCCCCCGCCGCCTCATTCTCTGTCACGCTCTGAAGTAAACTTCTGATCCAGCTCAGATGATCCAGCCAGGCTTGTCTGGGAACCTCTGAAAGAGGGTGAAATGAGAAACGCAGAAATCAGACACTTTGGAAATTGATTTTGAGCTGGATACCTATCTTACCCACTGATAATAAACCTCCAGTTCAAATAGTTTCAACTGACCCTTTGCTAGGCTTCAAAAATTTTCTTGACCAATCTTAGGAACTATAGCCATCTGCTATATTATTATTATTAAGACACTTATTAAAACAATTGAGACATTGTTTTTTCATGCACTGGTCAGTTTTGATATTTTGTGCTATTTTCACAGACTAGTGGAAGAAAAAAACTTTTTAGTGTTTAGTTTATTGCACTTTATCTATTTGCATCTGTAGATTTTAAATACAATACATATCTTTAAAGTCTGATTTATCAAAATGCATTTCTGAGCCAGAAATCTCCACTTCATTAAACGTCTCCGCTTTATTCCCATCTATATTCTGAAGGATTTACAGAGGGGTTTGTTCATTTACCATTTGCTTGACTTTTATACATTTTATTCCTAAAAACATAGCAAATTGTGACAATGTTGACAAAAAATGGTGGATACAAGAATGTATGCAATTCTTAATGTAATCAATCAACTGGGGAAATATGGTGATACTTCAGTTAAACTGTTTACCTGGGGTGTTTAGCCCCTTAAAACATATTCAGCACTGTATATTTACCATCATTATATGGACAAAAAAGCAGACATTCATCAAAATATATCCTTTTGTGTTCTGCAGAAGAAAAGGTCAGGTTTGGAACAACAAGAGGGTGAGTAAATAATGGCAAAATGTTCAT